CTCTGCCACAGAAAGCAATCGAGGCCAAAACATTGAATATTTTAAGAAGGAGTTAGATATAGTTCTTAGGGAGAAAGGGATCAAAGGGAGAACAGGGTTCTGAGTTGGAAGATCAGCTGTGACAGTACTGAATGGCAGAGCAGACTCAAAGGGCCAAATGGACTACCCCGGCTCCTGTTTTATGTTTCCGTAGGTTTTTCGAATTCATTCCGGGAGGGATTTGAAGGTTATTAAACACATACCATGTTTAAATTTGTTAAACTCTCGTAAAGTAGGCGTGGTCCTGAACACTTGTTCTGAAAGGAGAGATCAGTGGGAGATTGTCCAGTATGTGGTGGTTTGATGTAATCTCAACCTAATTCCCATGAGATCATTGGCTCAGGCTAAACAACAAGGTATCTCCTCATAGAACAGAAGAATCATAGAATCCCTACAGTGCAGAAAGAGGTTATTTGGCCCATCGAGTCTACACCGACCCTCTGAAGCATATCCCACCTAGATCCAGCACACCCCCACTCTATCCCCGTAAATCCACATTTTCCAGGGCTAACCCACCAGGCCTGCACATCCCTGGACAATTTACCATGGACAATCCACCTCATCTGCACATCTTTGGACCGTGGGAGGCAACTAGAGCACATGGAGATAACCCACACAGACACGGGGAGAATGTGCAAACTCCACACAGACCTGACGGTAGAAATCAAACCCAGGTCCCTGGTGCTGTGAGGCAGTAGTGCTAATCACAGGGTAATTCAAGCTCTATTTATTAGCTGAAGTCACCATTGTCCCACTGGGCATAGAGCTGCTCTCTCATTATAGAGAGACGATAATGGCAAGTTTAACCTGAGGGTTACCATGCCCGGGGCAAGGATGGGAAGGTAGGATCTTCTTAGTGACCTCAACCACCATGGGAATTGTGCCCACACCTTTGGCATCACTCTGCATCGCAAAACAGCCAACCAAGCTAATCAACTCCCAAGGATGATTTAGCAGCTGATGTGGTTCCGACCTTCTAGCAAAGTCTCTCTCACTTGACTGTTGAGGTCAGAGCTTCAACACCGCACATGTCAGAAGCTCATCTGCATAATCATTGAACCCTCTCGTCCAAAAGGAAAACAATGACGTGGGTTCACAGAGACATGAGTGTCAGAACATAGAGATCTCATTTTGATGCAGGTCAGGGGTGTTATCAAAGTCATGGCGAGAGCAAAGAGAGTTTTACTCTCCATTAAATCTGAGCTCTGCCTGATCCAACATTCCCTGACAATGTGTGGCAATGCTGTGGTTTTAAGAGATTATTTTGTCCTGGCATTTTTTGAAGAGAAGTTTTAAGGCAGAACTGCCGAGCAGTCTACATGGAGAGCCAGTAAAATAAACAGCTTGAGAGGCCTTGGAGTTTTTTTTGTAAAGTTGGAACAATAGAAGCAGCCTGGCTGGGTGTGACCAATCCTCACAGACCAGGATTTCTAGGATTTTTAAAAAATTTTTACATTTAGCTTTAAGCAGTTGCTATTCTGGGCTTGAAGAACTAGAAGCTATTCTGCCCTCTCTCAATTACAGCGAAAAACTGGGGGTTCCCTTCTTAGGCTGCCATATTGCACGTGAGGCAAAATCTTTTTTTCTGAATTTGCCTTTTTGCCAAAGGGTGTGTTTATGAGATGTTACTATATCGGAACAGTTAATTAGCAATAGTTACTGTATCTATTATACTGTTAAGTTATTCTAAATTCTTCTTTGTTTGTATTTTAAATGCAGTGTTTAAATAAATTGTGTTTTGCTTAACATTGAATTGCATCTAGAACATAGCACATTACATTTGCCTTTAAAATAAGAAAAAGCTAGGGTCTAGGCTACCTTCTTAAAATATTTTGAGGTAGTCTAGTCTGGTCAGCTATTCAATTTGACAGCTCCCGATTCTCTAGACCTGGAAGAGCACATAATAAATCAAACCACACCAATATTTCCCGGCGACAATAGCAGTGGCCAGCCTAGGGAGACCAGGGAAAAGCCCGGATAGTCCAAGGATTTTGACTCTTACCCAGTGTCTGCGACGTGGAAGTCTGTAGGGCTTGCTCGCCAAATTTCCCAACCGCAACGAAATAATTGTTAGCTGCCGTGATCAACACTGGAAAAGAGGGTTGAGAAGACAGCAAAATAAATTTCTTTCTGAAAAGGGGTTTGATAAAAGTCACCGACATGGATGTAAGGAGAACCCAGAACCCTCTCTGAGCCATGGCTGCAAAATAGCGGGCAATTTTATAGGTTCGTGACATCCCCAGCTGAGGTCCATTGTTTTATTTAACTCCAAAACTCAATCGAGGAGGCCCGGGTTTAAGTGTCACCTGCTCCAGAAGTGTGTAATAACATGTCTGAATGGGCTGATTAGAAAAATGGGTTAATTGAAAAACAAAGGCAGATCCATGTCAGAAGAAGAAGAAAAAAGAGAAGGAAAAAAAAAATCAGAGGCCCTGTTGTGGCACAGAGGTAGGGTCCCTACACCTGGACCAAGAAGCCTGGGTTCAAATCCCTTCTGTTCCAAAGGTGTATAATAACATCTTTGAGTAGCTTGTTTATTAAAATTGATTAAAAACCAATCAGTTACCATAAATAATCAATATTGTGGTGCAGTAGTAGTGTCCCTTCCTCTGAGCCTACAGGTCTGGATTCAGGTCCCACCTGCTGTGCCATTTGATAAGATCATGGTTGATGTGATTGTGCTATCCACAGCTTCCCAGAGGCACCATTTCCTATGGCTCCCTTGTTTATCAAATATTCATCTAACTCAGCCCTGAATATATCCAATGAACCAGCCTCCAACATTCTCCGCGGAAAAGAATTCCAAAGACTAACCATGACTGCGAAAAGAAACTCCACTTTAGAAACTACATCTTTGACTGAATTTTTGCTCATCTAACCAAGCATCTCTTGTACAAATTGCCAAAACGACGAAACACCTGCAGATATTTCTACGGCGCTACACAATTACATTACCTGCTAGGTATGAAAGCAGAATGGGCAGGGTGAGCGGATTGGGATCACAGCGCTAAGGGTTGAAGATTAAGAAGCAGGGATGCCTTGCTGAAAACTGTACAGGGTGTTGGTGAGCCAACACCTGGAGTATTGTGTGCAGTTTTGGTCTCTCTATCTGAGGAAGGATGCTCTGATGTTGGAGAGAATGTCACAGAGTTATACAGCATGGACCCTTCAGTCCAACTCATCCATGCCAACCAGATATCCTAATCTAGTTCAATTAATCTAGTCCCATTTGCCAGGATTTGGCTCACATCCCTCTAAACCTTTCCTATTCATGTACCCGTCCAGATGCCTTTTAAATGTTACAATTGTATCAGCCTCCACCACTTCCTCTGGGACTCTATTCTGTGCAAAGTGGTGTCTGATTTGCAAACAGAATAGAGTGAAAGAACTTCTGGGATTCGCAATTGAACTTTAATGTTTCCTTGGCATTTGTTCTTGCGGGGGGGAACTCATTCCATATACCCACCACCCTCTGCATGAAAATGTTGCCCCTTAGGTCCCTTTTATTTCTTACCCCTCTCACCTTAAACCTATGCCCTCCAGTTTTGGACTCCCCTACCCTGGGGATAAAAAACCTTGGCTTTTCACCCTATCCATTGCCCGTCACCATTTTATAAACCTCCATAACGTCACCCCTCAGCCTCTGGTGGTCTAGGGACATTAGTCACAAAGGTTTACCAGACTAATTTCTGGGATAGCAGGACTGATGTACGAAGAGAGACTGGATCAGTTAGGATAATATTCACTGGAGTTTTGAAGACTAAGAATAGAAACCTATAAAATTCTAACAGAACTAGGTCGGTTAAACACAGGAAGGATGTTCCTGACGGTGAGAGAGTCCAGAAACAGGGATTCACAGTTTGAGGATACGGTTTAAACTATTTAGGACTGAGGCAAGGAGAAATTTCTTCATCCAGAGAGTGGGGAACTTGTGGAATTCTCCGCTACAGAAAGCAGTTAAGACCAAATCATTGAATGTTTTCAAAAAGGAATTAGAGGTAGTTCTTAGGGCTAATGGGATCAAAGGGTAGGGGGAGAAAGTGGAAACACAGTACCAGTTGGATGATCAGCCATGATCATACTGAATAATGTAGCAAGCTCAAAAGGGCTGAATGGCCTACTCCTGCTCCAATTTTCTAGACCTTTTGATAAGAGCTATGGGAGAGACCACTACTGCAGAATCTGCATGCACTTTAGGACATCAAATAGCCTGTTAAAGGTGCTATATGAATGCAGGTTTGTTGTTGGTGTAGCCCAGCAAGAACATGAGAGAAAAAAACAGTAGATGCTAAACACCCTCAAAAAAAACCGTTCTGGGAATGTTTGCTTGTTACAGTGAACACACTTGGTCAATTAAGAACTCAGGAGCCTGCAGCTACTAAATAAACAGCACTGGCCATCTGCCTTGCTCATGCAAGGAACAACAAAGGCAATAAATCAACATGTTGCCATGACTCAGTCCCTCAACGAGGGAATCGCACACACTCAATTACACACCACAAAAAGGACACTTGACTTTCAGAAAGAATAGCCCTGGAATAGTCAAAATACTGAGCTTCTCACCAGGAACAAATTCAAAGGAAACATTAACGTTGAGTCACCAAGCCCTTCTGGATTGTCCAGTATTCTCCTTCAATGAAACATTAATCTCCTGGGCATGGCTCCAAATTATAATAAATAATCAATTAGGGTGGCATGGTGGCTCAGTGGTTAGCACTGCTGCCTCACAGCGCCAGGGACTCGGGTTTGATTCCACCCTCGGGCGACCATCTGTGTGGAGTTTGCACATTCTCCCTGTGTCTGCGTGGGTTTCCTCCAGGTGCTCCGGTTTCCTCCCACAGTCCAAAGATGGGCAGGTTAAGGGTGGATTGGCCAGGCTAAATTGCCCCAGTAGTGTCCAGGGATGTGCAGGCTGGGTGGGTTAGCCATGGGAAATGCAGGATTATAGGGATAGGGTAGGGGGAATGGGTCTGGGTGGGATGCTCTTCGGAGGGTCGGTACAGACCAGATGGGCCAAATGTTCTGCTTCCAAGCTGTAGGGATTCAATGAACACACTGGGAACAGATAACATAGGGTATGCGGAAAGCAACAGTACATTTGTTCATTCTCAAACCAATCTGAGACGGGAAACAATATTATCAATTAAGAAACAGCCAATCAGTTAATGCAAAATGGGTGTTCGATGTAAGGCTGGGCACAAGGACAAATTGGGAGAATGTTTTTGGTGGTGGTTTAAGGCTGGTGCTAATGTCCTGGGTATCAGATGTCTTTTTGTGGTGCCATGGTAGTGTCCCTACCCCTGGACAGGGAGGACCAGGTTCAGACCCTACCTGCTCCAGAAGCGTGTAATAACATCTCCGAACAGGTTGATTAGAAAAATAGGTTAAATGAAGAAAAATGAAATGCTGCAAGTGTTTCAAGTCTTACATCAAACCTTATGGCACTAGAATCCCGTTTTGAGGTTTGAAACCAGTCACAATTCTGCAGGGAGCGGTGGTGGGAGATAAGAGCTAATAAGATCATGGTGACAGGAGGTCAGCCATTGCACTCTCACAGTCCGAGACCCCAAAATTTCAGCTTCGATTCCTAACATCCATTTCGGGAAGCTCGACTTTTACAGATTTGATCTTCCTCAGAGAAGCGCAGAGTTGTTACTAGATTTTTTTAACTGTTCAGGAATGCCATTCACAGAGTTTTATACAATGCTTTACAATGCTCCATTGCTAAAAACACATCTGGCTCACTAATGTCCTTTGGGGAAGGAAACTGCCATCCTTACCCGGTCTGGCCTACATGTGACTCCAGACCCACAGCAACATGGTTGACTCTGAACTGCCCTCTGGGCAATTAGGGATGGGCAATAAATGCTGCCTATTCAGCGATGCCCTCATCCCGTGAATGAATAAAAAAAAGCTTCTAGCACCTTCTATGCCTGAGTCAACCCCTTGCCTTAATCAATCAAGCACAGTGAACATAGATCGGTTACCATAATCAAACACAGAACAGTTGAACTGTTGAACACGTTAGTGTTGACACATGGGAATCAATTGGTATAGGGTAAAGATGGGAGTTAAAGTAGAAAATCAGCCATGATTGTAATGAACTGTGAGAGGTTTAAAGGCCACAATAGCCTACTCCTGTTACTATTTCTATGAACTTCAGATCATGAGTTCACAGAATCCCTACAATGTGGAAACAGGCCCTTTGGCCCAACAAGTCCACACTGACCCTCAGAGCATCTCACCCAGACCTATCCCTATAACCCACCTAATCTACATATCTCTGAACACCATGGGCAATTTAGCATGGCCAATCCATCTAACCTGCACATCTTTGGACTGTGGGAAGAAACTGGAATACCTGGAGGAAACCCATGCAGACAGTTGCCTGAGGGTAGAATTGAACCTGGGTCTCTGGTGCTGTAGAGGCAACAGTGCTAACTACTGAGCCACTGTGCCCCCAACTTATAATAGCTCTTTGTATGCGGCAGTTATGTGTTTATTTTAATCAACTTCTTTGAACATGAAATGATATACCTCTACAGCAGGTGAGACATGAACACTGACCTTCTGGCCCAGAAACAGGGACACTGCCACTTTATTTTTTATGGAAGGCGCGCATTTTTCAAAGTTCAAAGCACATCTTAATAGCTGTGTTCAACAGGAGTAAATTCAGCACACATATTCTTTCCCAATCAGAAGAAAGTAAGTCTTGTGTTGGATGTAAAAAGCAAGCAACTAATTAGCCTGGAACTAATTCTAAGTCTAAGTATTCCTGTGGGTCGCATTCACAGATGCACTGGGGTCTAAAGCAACCTGCTAACTAGGCAGCAAGGCAACTTGGATTAAAAACAAAGAGCTCTAACATTTCCGTGCCTAAAACACAGTTATCTCTAACAGCTAGGGGTCAAAAGACAAACGGAATACGTAACAGTGGCCAACTAGATCAGCAATCTTACATTAACCAGAACGTTCCAAGCCAGTTATTCAGATAGCACTGGGGCGAGATGACCCAGGGAAGTTGGTAAACCAGTCAAAGAAACGCAGAGAATCCTTGATGTTGTTGATAGAAGCATCGAGTGCATCGCA